TGGAGACCTGGGGTGAGGCAGCCAGGAAAGCCCCCGCCCAGCCCCCCAGGAGGAAGGCCCTCGGCCACACGCACCCCAGGGGCACGCGCTGCACAACACACTGTCCCCCCGAAGTCACTGCTGACCCAGCTCCGGGCCTCACACGCGGCCTGTGCAGGGGGCTCAGGGGGTGGTTTCCCAGAGAGCGAGCCTGTGGGGTACACAGCCCCCGACTTCCACCAGCCGGTCAGGTGCAGCGGAGGGGAGGAAAAAAAACCCTCACGGGGGTGCCCCCTGCCCCCTCCCGTCCACAAGATCTCAGGGTGCCAACTCCACGTCCACATGAAAATGCATTAAATAAACTTTCCCTGCAAACAAGGGCTGAGCGGCCACCCTGGCCCAGGTGCAGACAGGAGCCCAGGGGACGGACGGACGGACAGACAGGACTTGGACACGTGGAAACGCTCCAACGTGGCCCCAGAGAAAACCCAGTAAATGTACCGGCGGGGAGGCCTGTTCACCCCGACAGGAGGCCTGTTCCCCCCGGGAAGGAGGCCTGTTCCCCCCGGGAAGGAGGGCAGGAGGGAGGGGTCTTTTTCTGGCCGCCGTGTCGGTCACATGCAGAGACACAAAAAGGGGTTCCCGTGAGCCTGGTGCCCCTGACCCCCCAGCCCCCAGGGGGAGGGAGGACAAGGCCGGGCCACAGGACAGCTCCCGTGACCGTGGGATTCTGGGGAGGCCACGGGGGGCTCCCCCCTCACAGTCCGTGGCCCCTTAAACGCGTTCATGTGCCCCTACGGACACAGACGCCCTGGAGCCCCTCGGAGTCGCGGTGAAGTTTACAGCCATCAGTCACGGAAGGACAGACAGACGGACGGACGGACGGACGGACGGACGGGGCTGCATGCACCCTAGTGCCGCGTGTGACCATCGCTGAGCCCGTGAAACCCCCGACCCGGAGCCCCGGCCACGCAATCGGCCGTGTGAGCAGGTCGCCTCCCCTGCGGCGAAGGTGCGGGATCTTAGGAAACCCCGCCCGCCCACCAC